CCCCGCCCCGTCCCCACATCTTTCTCAGCTTCCTACAAACTCATTTTAAGAATCCTGCAAGATTAACCTCACTCCCTTTTATTTCATCCATTTAGCAGGTACGGGGCCAATTCCAATTGGTAGAGCACTAATTGGGCTAATTTGTACTTATTTTGATGAGGCCTTATGTAGATTTCAGATAGGTGAGCTGATAATTAAGTAGGCGAACCAATGCTGTCCAAATAAAAAGAAACATGAGAAGCCATTTAAATAAGCTGAGACGTGAATCACGCTTTGAAAGAACTCTGTAAGCAATACAAACATTGTATCTCTCCCTGGAAGAAGAGAAACAAGGGAACTCTCCCTTTTGTATCTGACATTTCATCATTTAAAAAACCTGGGCCGGGCGCGGTGGCTCACGCCTGTAATCCCAGCACTTTGGAAGGCCGAGGTGGGCGCGTCGCCTGAGGTCAGGAGTTCGAGACCAGCTTTGGCCAACATGGTGAAACCCCATCTCTACTGAAAATACAAAAATTAGCTGGGCGTGGTGGCAGGCGCCTGTAATCCCAGCTACTCGGGAGGCTGAGGCAGGAGAATCGTTTGAACCCGGGAGGCAGAGGTTGCAGTGAGCTGAGATCGCACCACTGCACTCCAGCCTGGACAACAAGAGCAAGATTTTGTCTAAAAAACAAACAAACAAACAAACAAAAAACCCTGCTAGGATAAAAACAAAATGCCTACTTTTCCTGAGAAGGTTCTTTTATATGATTATAGAAATTCTGCTACTATAATTAACATTTTTATTAAGTTTTAAGGCTATGACATTGCAGCAGTGTTATGGAGATGAATTCTGCTGTTAGGTCTCAGTCATTATTATGAAAACCTTGCCCCTCACTTCTTGGCTGTGCCCCTGCTCTAATAAAGAGCCTCTGCTGTAGAACGTGGAAGGTATCTGAGATTTGGGAAAATATTTGAATTAATCCAATTTGAGAAATTTGGATATTCTGATTATCAGAAATCAGAACTAACAATCTTAATGGCTCTAAATGGCCCTACATAATTTTTCTTAATTACACTAATTCAAACACCAGGAAAGAGTTCATTTAATATCTAGTAGATACCTATAACAAGGCACTCTGGGTATATAGAATCCATAGACTCTATTCTCAAGGAATGCCCACCTAGTGAGGAAGACAAGATACAGATACATAAACGACAATAAGAAATCATACAAAGCAGGATGAGGTGTCAAAGGATGGTGAAGGCAGAGAAATGTGAAATTATTGTTTACTAAAAACCATTCACTCCTCCATATGAAACAGTTCCAGCCAGGCGCACTGGCTCACGCCTGTAATCCCAGCACTTTGGGAGGCTGAGGCGGGTGGATCGCCTGAGGTCAGGAGTTCGAGACCAGCCTGGCCAACAAGATGAAACCCCGTCTCTACTAAAAATACAAAATTAGCAGGGCATGGTGGTGTGTTCCTGTAATCCCAGCTACTCGGGAGACTGAGGCAGGAAAATTGCTTAGAACCCAGGAGATGGAGGCTGCAGTGAGCTGAGATGTTGCCATTGCAGTCCTGCCTGGGCAACAGAGCAAGGCTCTGTCAAAAAAGAAAGAAAGAGAGAAAGAAAGAAAGAGAGACAGAGAAGGAAGGAAGGAAGGAAAGAAAGAAAGAAAGAAAAAGAAAAAAGGAAGAAAGAAAGAAAGAAAGAAAGAAAGAAAGAAAGAAAGAAAGAAAGAAAGAAAAAGAGAGAGAGAGAAAGAAGAAGAAGAAGGAGGAGGAGGAGGGGAAGGAAGGAAGGAAGGAAGGAAGGAAGGAAGGAAGGAAGGAAAGAAAGAAAGAAAAGAGTTCCAACTCTTCCATAAGTTGGGCATTAAAGAACAAGCAGGACTTACTTAAGCATCAAATGGAACCATGTAAGAAGCTATGGGATTTACATTAATTGTCATTATTCATGGATTCCCTATTTGTGAATTCAACTAGTCACTAAAATATATTTGTAACACAAAACCAATAGTAGAGGTGCTTTCAGTGTAATTTGCAGACCTGCATAGAGCAACAAAGATTTTTAGTTGCCCGATGCCCCTGTTCGCAGCTGAAGTTGAACAAAGCAGTGCTCTACCTTCTAGTTTCAGTTTTCACACTGTTAACAGGTGCTCATTTTGTAGTCTATTTAATGCCATCCTTTTTACATTTTTGTGCTTTGTGTTGGTGATTTTGCTGCTAAAAATGGCCACCAAATATATGTCAAAGTGCTGTCTACTGTTCCTAGTGCAAGAAGGCTGTGATGAGCCTTATTGAGAAAATATGTGTGTTAAGTAAGCTTAATTCAGGCAAGGGTTATAGTGCCGTTGGCCACAAATTCAGTATTAATTAATCAACAATATCTATGAAATAAGGTGTCTTTACCAGAAACACACATACAACAAGGTTATGTATTGATTGGTTGATGGAAATGTGACCAGAGACTCACAGGAATCCAGGCCTGCATTTTTCCTAGGAGCAATTGTTCAGTATAGTATTTGAACTTAATACTTAATTGAACGTGACTACCATGAATTATGAGAATTGACTGTATTTAGTGGGATTTTTTTTTTTTTTTTTTGACAGAGTTTCATTCTTGTTGCCCAGGTTGCAGTACAATGACGTGATCTTGGCTCATTGCGACCTCCGTCTCCCGGGTTCTAATTACAGGCATGCGCCACCATGCCCGGCTAATTTTGTATTTTTAGTAGAGACAGCGTTTCTCCTGTCTTTGGTCAGACTGGTCTCGAACTCCTGACCTTAGGTGATCCGCCCACCTCGGCCTCCCAAAGTGCTGGGATTACAGGCATGAGCCACCACGCCCAGCCCTTTTAATTGGATTTTTAACTGTCTTTTTGTGCTTGTGTATGGCTTAATTTTTCCTTCCTTGTACATAGCACATTGGATGGCCCCTAAAGACAAAGCCCCCACCACGGGGCCTCCTCTACCTCTATGTGACACTTATTCAGGTCACTAGCTCTGGAGTCTGCTTCTTTCCTTCCCACTGACCTTTTGAGTCAACCAGTGGTAAAGTCTTGACTGTGGTGGTCTGGAGCAGGGTTCGCAACTCCCCATATGTGTAAGAAGCTGAAACAAACTTCACATCACGTACCATGATGTCCTCAACAAAGATGGTATATTTGCTATGGAGGGAGAAAGCATGGTGGGTTAGCCCCACCATATACCTATCCCTTCCATTCCTCCCATAAGATTTGCCATACTTTCAGTCACTCACAATATCTATTAAATGCATGAGGATATAATAATAATTTAAAACAATGTTTCCAAACATTAACCCTAAGCTCAATCTCAGCCTCTGAACCTCCCACTCTCCCCATCAGATCTGAACTAATTCCATCTAGTGCCCCTGACCTGAGCTGGTTCCAGCCAAGGTCAGGCAAGTAGGGTAGCTTCTTGACCTGGATGATGCTGTCATAGAGAGAGGGCTGCAGGCTCTGAGCCACCATGTTGGCCAAGATAACAGCCACCATCATGGGCAGGATGTGAGCAATCTGACCCGTTAATTCGAAGCAAATCACAGCTGTGGAGACTGTGTGGGACACGGCACCAGTCAGCGCTGCTGCTCCTAGAATGACACAGGAATGCACCTGTAGGTTAGGACTACCGTTCTTAGCATGGAGGACATATGGGGATGGGATGGGAATAACACGGAATGAGAGACAAGATCGTGGTCAGTGCCAACACTCATAATGATTTGTCAAGAATAGGGACTAGAATACTGAACTCTTAGGAAATCATCATTTTGATCTCATTCTATAACCTTCACCAAGTTACAAAATCTTTGTGTGCGCCAAAATTTTCATTTATAATATGAAGATAGTGATGTCCTATCCATTCCTTGCTTTTAAAAGTTTGGATGATTATTCACTGAGCATTTTATTTTATTTATTTTTAATTATTATTATTATTATTATTTGAGACAGAGTCTCACTCTGTCACCCAGGCTGGAGTGCAGTGGTGCAATCTCGGCTCATGGCAACCTCCACCTCCCAGGTTCAAATGATTTTCCTGCCTTGGTCTTCCAAGTAGCCAGGACTACAGGCATGCACCACCACACACGTCTAATTGTTGTATTTTTAGTAGAAACAGGGTTTGCCATGTTGGCCAGACTGGTCTCAAATTCCTGGCCTCAAGTTATCCGTCTGCCTCAGCCTCCCAAAGTGCTGAGATTACAGGCGTGAGCCACTGTATCAGGTCTCTTCACTGAGCATTTTACAACTCAGTTATGACATTTTTTTTTTTAACGTTGGGCTTTAGGTATTAATGCCAAGAATTAATGAGTAAATAGAGTGGAAACCCAAGAATCGTGCTGTGGACTTGGAGCAATGAGACTTGTGTCAGATCCTGCTGTTACTATTTCTCAATGGAATGAGTAGAGCTTAATTCCTCTGGAATCCCACGCTCTCAACTATAAAGTGAAAGGGGTCATTTAGATGATTTCTAAGGCCCTTGTAGATCTGAAACTTTATAATTCTATAAGCTCCCCGAAGATAGAATCTATCTTGTTAATTTTTGGTTGTTTTCCCACTAACCAAAATAGTCACTTGTGCATTAACTATATTTCTTATTTAAATATGGAAGAGATATCCTATGGGGAAAATGTAGAGGAAGGCACATATGAAAATGTAACAAGAAAAAGTCAGCTGTGCGTGGTGGCTCATGCCTATAATCCTAGCACTTTGGGAGGCCAAGACGGGTGGATGACTTGAGGCCAGGAGTTTGAGACCAGCCTGGCCAATATAGTGAAACCCCATCTCTACTAAAATTACAAAAATTAGCCAGGCATGGTGGCATGTGCCTGTAATCCCAGCTACTTGGGAGGCTGAGGCAGGGGAATCACTTGAGCCCAGGAGGCAGAGGTTGCAGTGAACCCAGATTGTGACACTGCACTCCTGGGCAACAGAGCAAGACTCTGGAAAGAAAAGAAGAGAAGAGAGAAAAGAAGGAAGGCAGGAAGGCAGGAAGGCAGGCAGGCAGGAAGGAAGGAAGGCAGGAAAGCAGGAAGGAAGGAAGGAAGGAAGGAAGGAAGGAAGGAAGAAAGAAAGAAAGAAAGGGAGAGAGTAAGCAAGAAAGCACCACAAAAGGGAAATATAGGGAGGAATGACACTACTGGATATTGCATACAACATGCTTCAGAACATAAACAATCACAGGATGTATATACAAGGAAATGTTCACAAGGGAGGCACGTGTACCAGGAAGTCATGAAGATGGAGAACAAGAGCAGTGACCCTCATTGATGAAAGAGGCTTTTATAAAGAAACTATGTCAGGTGAGCAGGGTACCAAGTGAGCTAGAAAGCTGGTCAGCAATTCTCTATCTAGGGAAGGCCTGAGATGCTATGGAATTTTGGTGAGGAAGGGAGGAAGCACAATAATACCAGGATTCTATTGGTGTTAGGCATAGCTCTATCTTAGAAGTCATTTTAGAATAAAGAAACTAGGGCTCAGAAGCAGCTATCTTGCTTCATGGTCACTGATAACAAGCAGCAGGAGAAATCTAGAGCTATGTTTCTTAGCTCTTAGTCCTGTGCTCTTAACTCCCCATCAATATAAACACGTCTCAGGTTGAGTCAATCGCCTGCAACCTGAGCCAATCACCTGCATTGTTGGTTCCATGATTCCTAGGAAGGAAAGATAGAACCCTTATCAAACATCCAGACACAATCCTAGAATCTTACGATCTCATTTGATCCCTATGACCCTTTTCCACATGAGGAAACTAAGGCTCACAGAAGTTCAATATGAAATAATGAGAGTCAGAGTCATAGGTATATTATCTGAGTATAAGTCGAGTTCAGTAGCACTAAATTAAAATTGTATTGTGTAGCCTAGAATGAAGATCCAATGGGAGAGTTTAAGTGTGGGAGTCTGGAGTACTCAATGTTTGATTACAGGGAAGTGGGAATGTTTCTCACCAATTACTGCATAGCCCCCAGGTAGGATCTTATAGATGATGTCATCAAATAAAATACCATCAGGAAACAGCATGGCCATGATCTCTCCTACCAGCCTTCCAAATGCAGCTCCTAGAGAAAAGATAAAAGGAAGTTATCTTAAAAAGATAAAAGAAAGATAAAAGGTGTTACAAGATCCAAGTTCCTTGCTCTCTGTTTTCAGAACCAATCTCTCCTGGGGTGTTAAGATGAAATACAAACTCCCAGCATCCCGGGCCTTTCCTTATGTTTCCGGTATCCTAGATTGCAACTCTGAGTCAGACCCCAGGCTTCCCATCAGAACTTACCTAGCACAAACACAGGCATGAAGCCTCCGCAGGGTATGGGCATAGTGGTGGCCACGATGGACATCCAGAACTGCAGTAAAAGGAAGCGTTGGAATACCCTTTCAACTCTGCCCAGTAGACACGCACACACACATCTCCCTTCCCACTATCCTTTCTGCAGAAATCCTGGGATAGCTGATCCTTCTGAAAGTCACTTTGTCTGTCACCCTTCTTCCAGAAACAAAAACCATAGAGCTCTCAGGCTAAGAGATTACCAAAGACAATACAGGAATACTATCAGAAGTTTCCTCCAGATGACTAGACCAAATCCCTCCTACTTTGAGTGCCCGTATTTGCCTTTCAGGAGTCTAGAACAAAGAATGGAGCCCCAGAGTACTTCTCTTTCTCTGCCCCAAAAGAGCCCCAGCCCACTGTACCCTTTTAGTCCAGAAAGTTTGCCTCAGCAAATAGCCTGAAACTCTTGAAGCTGGAGGAAAACTTTTCCTACTCAGGTTATATTTCTGAAAAGGAGCTCCAGTTCTTTCTTTCTTTTTTATTATTTTTATTTATTTTTTTATTTATTTTGAGACAGGGTCTCGCTCTGTCACCCAGCACCCAAGCTGGAGTACAGTACCATGATCTCGGCTCACTGCAACCTCTGCCTTCTGGGTCCAAGCTATTTTCCTGCCTCAGCCTCCCGAGTAGTTGGGACTATAGGTGCATGCCATCATGCCCAGCTAATTTTTTTGTATTTTTTAGTAGAAATGGGGTTTTGCTATGTTGACCAAGCTGGTCTTGAACTCCTGACCTCAGGCAATCTGCCCGCCTCTGCCTCCCAAAGTGCTGGGATTACAGGTGTGAGTCACTGCGCCTGGCCGAGGAGCTCCAGTTCT